GTTTAATCCGGTTTGGCAAATAATGAAGATGAAATGTAAGCTATTTTGAATAAAGTGTGTTTAATATTTTGGTAGCATGTTTCTTCTATAGATAACCTGAAAGCAAAAAAAAAACCCTATTCCGTAAAGGTTTTTGGTTTATTTTTTAAATGACGCACAGCTCTGCCTCAGGAACCTATATTTTGTGAAATACATTGATCCAGTCTAACATAGGTAAACACGTAATTCCAACGTTTACTATGGTTTAAAATGAATTTTTTAATATATTTATTTCAATATTCTCCAAAAAAGAGAATTGATGACGTGCGCGCCGACTAAGGAAAATCCTACTTGACCTCATTAAAATCTCAAAAATAAAATGTTCTCAGCTTACTACGGCCTCGTTCAATTTTTAGTATGGGGATATGTCAGTCATGTGACAAGTCAATCACATTATAAGGTAAGTACATTTTAGAATAAACGAAGCGCTTAAACATAGGCAAATAGAAATAATAAACAAAATTATATGTATAATAAAATAAAAATGTTCAATTAATTTTGAGTTTCAGACATTATAATAATACCAAGTACTAAATAGTATATTACCGATATTTTCATCCAAACCAGGCACGTATACCTAGATCAAAAATATACGAAAACTTTACAATCTCACGGTATATATACGGTACCTATACTGTTACTGAAATTATTCGAAATACTGTTAGCACTCGCGTAATTTGTTGCATTTTCGATATAGTAAATTGGATTCCTTAACCGTATTGAATTTCTTCGTGAACTTTAATCGGACACGAGTCGAATCAAATTTAGATTTATCGGCCTACTTTATCGCGATTTAGATAGCCACGACTTCCATTTCATAATCGAGATCTGTATCTTGCCTTAATAGTTCTATAAACTACGCTCTTGTATCTTTTGTGTTGCTACTCTTCGGTGGTGTAGTCATTTAATCATATCAATAAATGTGCTCTTTTCTATTTATTTGAAGTACAATGAGTTTATAAGTATTAGACGCATAATTCATTACGTTATACGCGGATAATAGCCAGGTTGCGGACAGCATTTTCCGTTATGTTAGACGGCCATTTTTCCTTATAATATAAGTTTATAAGTATAAAACATTTTTATAGCAAAGTTAAGTTGCGGTGTGTGCTGCGTGTTCAATTTTGCTGAAGGAGTCTTAACCTCCGCCAACATAAACACTGCACAATTGTAGGTTAGCAGGAAAATGTTATTTATGAGTGATTACGTACTGCGCAGTGACACATTATAAGAACTTCATTTTCATTGGTTCCGCTATTTATAAATATATCGTACAAAAAGCCCTCATACCGTAAATTATTTCTACAAAAATGTATATTTCTTATGTTATAAGAAAAAATGGCCGTCTAACATAACGGAAAATGCTGTCCGCAACCTGGCTATTATTCTAGAAAATTACCGAAATCAAAAATCCAAAAGTTTGCACATAATGACTCTTATCTTTTTGCGTATTATCTCGGTTAGTGTTTGCTCTAATAAAAGGACCTATAAACTAAGTCTCTAATCATTAATGCATCAACAAGCTTTGAAATTTTATACAAATCAAAATGTAAATCTATGAAACTTTTTTCCCGAAAGAACCCTATTCTAACAAAATAATGTAAAGTTCTAGCTGCAGGCGTTTGAGGATGTTCCGCCCATAAAAGTCACATTTTTCTGATCCTCGTCTCATCCTTATTTTTTTACCTTAATTTTTAATTTTAATTTTCTTCACAAAGCAAGATATTTGTATACGCGAACTACACGCAGTTGCATGAAAACAGCAACAATCAGCTGGCACCGTCCATAATGGTTGGTAAAAAATAATGTCATCATCGTACCGTGTCTGAAAAGGTATTGAAGCACGTGGTTTTCATTTTCATTCAAGTGCAACTCCTGAACCAACCAAATGAATGTATGAACTTACTAACTAAACTAAAACATTGCAGCATGATCCTTCAACATGTTACACTATAGAAAAAAAGTACGTACATTCCTTAAATAAACTGATTGATTATTATACAAGTATAAAGTTCCACATCAACATATTCCGTTGATAAGGTTTTTTTTTCTTTCTATAATTGTACTTGATTGGCATTATGATGAATGATGTTATAACGAAAACATTATACACATAGTAGGTATATATTGGAACTTTTCACCATTTTGCCGGACCGGTAAATGTTACTTAATATCAAGTAGTAATTTGCAATTAAAGATGATGTCGGGATCGAAATGAATAAATGATGAAAGCATTTCCTTGTTATTCGTCTTCACGTTTGTGATGCTTTATGTAAATCGAAGACTGACTGTTGATAAATTTGATGTTTTTAAGACATCGTCCCTTGCCTATCAATAAGTTTTTAATTTTAATTCTGAATTTCGAAGATTCATTTCAGTCAAGTTGTAGGTATATAAGCTTTGTTGAAATTCAATTTCGTCTGTTACTGCCAAAGTTCCAAATTAGAAATACGTTTTTAATTGGGTGGGTGACATTTTTAATATGGGTCAATATAGATAATTTGTCGAGGGAACATTTTTTGTGTCCTGTTTCCAAGTTTGTTATTGATACGTTGTTTTTTTACTATTACTCATAAACCACATTTTTACCCAATCCCAGTTAACCGATGAGATAAGTATAAGTTATTACTCTGATAAAGCATTAATGAAACGCATCACCCGCTTCAAGTCACTTTAAAACTATTCTAGATTTCTTTAGTTTGTTTGTAGGTGCCATTCATGCTATACATGTCCATTTGGAAGTTACTTTATCTGAATGTGCGTGGGTTTTCTTTAGTTCGCAATAGATACGGTAAGGCCTCTTTCATTACTAATATTATTGTTACATAAAAAGGGAAATAATTTCGTTGTGTTTTCGTATTGACGCCATGAATGCTTCCTTGCCCTTAAAATGTGCTTGTGTAGTTAGTTTCCAAGTTACAGCTATAAAATACGTTCGCATTCATTAAACGCGTTTAATACCCACTTACCGTGAATTTATTGTTGGTATAAAGAAAAGCCAATAAATTGCGAAAATTGTACCTACTCACTCCACATATTTACGTGCATTAAAATTTCATTTTCAAATAATCTAACGTAATTAGTAAATAGGTATATCCCAAATAGTGTACTCATCCATTTGATTAATAGCAAAAAATTTTGCTGGGAAATTTTAATACGGAATGAAATACATCACTGTAATGACGTTATAGGAAGCCTATCAGGTATTATAAATGGTGGCGATTTGTTGTACTGTCAAATTTGTGTATTCGAATATTGAATGTTAACCTGCACCTTCATTTTAATTTCATCCTCAATCGTGCAGCTGCCTTGTTTGTTGTGCAATCCATTGTTATTTTTATATGCCAACTTTCTACATTTTTATACTCTTCCAATTTTCGCACTTTTCTCGAGAATGGTAGCCACAATGCCATATATTTACATAGACTTACACACGCTGCCACAATAAAAATTAAATTATTATAATAGGTAACAAACGAGGTAACAAATAAAAGGTGATTTGTGCCATGGTTACACGAGAGTTATATTTTGCCGCAGCAGACATGAGTGTAATGTAAAATTATGAAATGCCTACTTTACGAGCTTATATTTGCAGATACTAATTAGATACAAAGCTAAATAATGGCTTCATTATGGAAACTTGGTGTCCCCTCTCGTAGTTTTTACTTTTTTCCTTAAATTTACACCACAGGCTCGTATTCATTATTAACGATGTTTTGTAAAGAAAACCAGCATTAAATATTTTCAAAGTTAACATTTCATCCTATAAAGGAGTATTTATTTTGTAAATTTCTCGCACTCTACGAAAGTATCTTTTCGACGTATCAATTCCAGTAAAACTGTTGGAGAAAGTTTTTTTTATTTCCAAGTATATTTCGTCCGTCTTGCGTTGACGGTGTGGTACTAAAAAAGTTGACGTGATTTACTCGAAACTCACAATTGATAAAAATTATATTTTAGCACCATCAGAAGCTGAAAATAAATTAACGCCAGCTCTAGTATTTTATGAGTAGTAGTAGTAGCCAACCAAGACCTACTCAATTGAAACGCGACTTACAAGCGTGCGCGCGGATTTTTTGTGAATTTCTTATTTCACCGTTTTTTAGCGCGTTTTTTTCAAAAAAGTAGCGCTTATATACTTACTTTGGCTGTTTGGTCGGTCGGTCGGCTGTAAAGAGAATGTTCGTGTTTGAAGCATTATAGCTTTGTGTCACAATTATTTGCATGCAGATTATATTTATAAAATGAGTTTGGTAATGAAACCTCGATTCGTGGCACAAAAACGCGCTTAAGTAGCTGGACGCATCGAGTACTTTCCAACTTGATTTTTGTTTGGATATCTATGGACTTTTGAGAATGTGTGAACAGGAATCTTGCATGAATATGCGAATTTCCATTCTCAATGGATGTTTAGTTCACAAAATTCAAATGTTTTTCTTTGGATGCTGCTTATTATTGTGTGAGTGTTTTTTTTTATTCCAAACTTAAAATTTGTCGGCTGAGGGCCGGCCCGGTCAGAAATAAACGTATCTAAATAACGAAATTGCCATTCATGATATTAACGCATTAAATGAGAAAATAGTTCTACCAAACATCTTTAGGAATTCATACAAATCGCGTACCAACTGCAATAAATCTTCACGTTTGATTAATTGCTTCGCGATTTCACGGTTACACATAGGTACCGCTTGCATTTGGTTGCCGTTGCTTTTCCTTCGCGGTAAATCCCTTGGTGCATAAAATTTGTCGAACAGTATACGATCTACTTCTGTACTGATTATTCAACTTAGTAATAACAAATAGTTTCTTACGTCACGTCAGTAAACTTTTTTTAATTATCTAAGTGGATGGTCATAAAAGAGGTATACCCAGCATGATGTTTATAATATCCGTATAACAAGTTTTATTTGATTCATCTATCGCTTACAATAAATTATTAATTACTAAAAACATTTCTTTAGTTTCAGGATGGTGTTGGTTCTAAATGGTGTCCTACAAGAGGACTGCCCTCAGGATACGCGTTCGTTGTATCACACACATCCTGTATACAGGGAAACAGCCGCACAACTTTTGGCCATACCCAATAAGATAATCGGACCTGTTGGACTTTTATATGTACAACAAAGGGAATTTGCCGCTACCGTGCCACACGATAGTAAGTCACTTTCTGTTTAATGATTTCATTTTAAACGGCTGACTTCTGCATACATATATTTATTGGTAGTCATTATCATCATCATCAAGCTATAAAGTTTAATCGCATATCAACTTTCATTATCTCTTTTTTTTAGTAATTTCAGATAACATTTTTATATATGTAATTTATTTTGCATAGGTGTTGTTACTACTTACACATTGATGAGTTTAATCTGCCGCTCAGGGAAATAGTCGATATAGTCATTCTTTATTATATTTTCTATCATCATATTTATGCCTAAAAGTGGCAAAGGCTAAACTTTTCAAAATGACAACGGGTCGTACAAGTCTAAATAGCGTAAAATATTTAATTAGCGCATTATTTGAACGAAACTTAGCCAGAAACACCCGTAATTTAATAAGAAAAATAACAGTGTTCTTTCAGAAAATGTCAGCATACTCGGATCGGACGATGCCACCACTTGCATTATAGTCGTACTCAGACATTCTGGTAAGTTTTCTACGTCACATTTTTAATGGAGTTTTCTACCAAAAATATAATTATATTTTCGGTGTTGATTTATAGTACCGAATAAGCTAAATAACACCATACAATTAATCGTGGTGGCCATCACCCAAACGGCCAATTATTTGACTATACAAACCTACACAATTATTCTATCGTGGTTATCAAGCAATAAATAATAGTTGTTAATTGCGTCAGTGACATGTAATATTACGTCATAATCTAAGAGGAACGAATTTATTGCTCTTTTCAATCACCTAATTTGGCCGTCGGTCGTTGGTTACACTCAGATTTAGTATTTAGTCTAAACATGATCAATCTGAAAGGTAGATAAGTACTAATTTTCATACCTTCCTCTGCAATCACAAATTATCCTTCTACGTTCCCTTAGATTCTTCGTGGTGCAGGGCTAAAACGCAGCGTATTGCTTTTCGTGTCACCGAAGATTGTCAAATTGGATCCTAATCAATGATGAATTCTCTCAATTGTGTTTCACGTCTACAATTTTCTCTCGTGCATTTGAAATGCAAAAGAGGTCTTCGAGCGTGATTTAATGCTTTCTCGGCGAATTTTAATTATACATGACTTAATTTGCACAATCTTGTTGCTGTTCCGTGTACAAGATATTAGAGACTAATAAATTTTACGCACCTAACCATAACTTGTGCTCAGTACTGCAAATGTCACCAGATTTATTTGTCCTCAACAACCACTAATTGAAGTGAAAGCAAGAAAAACCCATCAATATCTTGTCATATGCAAATTATGGATAGGAGGAACAATTTCATTATTGCCAGTTAACGTAGGTTCATTATCATTTACAGGTTCCGGTGCCGTTGCGTTAGCACATTTCGATGGGTCTGGGACGGACGAAGCTGTCTGCACGATGGTGCAAAGGGTACAAGACTTATCTGTGGGATATCAAGAAGGAAGGATAGAATTACAACTGGTTGGAGGTTTTAGCGATGCACATAACTACTCGGAAGATATCTTTTTCAATATAATGAGTAGGTATTGTCAAACTGTACTATAAAAAACTAGTTTGATATTTTGATTTATGTTATTGCTCATATTTGCATACGTAACGCCATGTATAATGTAACTGTATATAATAACATTATATTTTTGCGTTTTAAATTAATTTTGATTAATGAAGCAAATAATACTTTCGATTTATTTTATTCGTTGTAGATTGTTTCCATAAGTTACCAGTGGAAATAGATCTTACATTAGCGTGCGTTGGTGAGTTAAATACAACCGTCAGGGGAGGAATTCACTGGCCAATGGTTTATGGAGCGGGAGTAAATATAAAGACTGGAGAAATATTTCCTGCCACTTTTCCTGACAAGGGTCCTGATCAAGCGCTTAGACGTGCCAGGCATCTTACAGGGCAAGCTCAGGTAAAACTTTCCTCGTGCTATTAATTAAATATTTGTATCCTATTCGTCCTTGATATTTTTTTATTCTTTCGTAATCTGCTGATTTATATTAATATGTTACTTGGGATACAGCAAGTAACAAATGATTCTGATTCATAAGAAATCTTTGCGTAACTTTTACAGAATTACACTTTTCTGGAACACGCCTTGCATGTACGCCAACGAAATTATCTCCACTGCCGTAAATGGTGATATCCAAGAATTGTGTTGTGCAACCAAGTCATCATTTCCCACAAAACACACTTGAACTAAAAAATTGGCCGTCTTTGTTCCGTTTTTTATTTTTAAATAATCATCATTATAAGGTTTGCTGTGAAATTTACAATCTGCCAAGAGATATTCTGTAGATGTATTCTATTTCACAGTACAATATTTATTGTAAAGAAAAATTAAGAGTTCTTTTTAAATGGCACTCCAACAATGTTATTCTACCAATCGTTTAAAAATTTGGGTTTTATTGTTGTTATAATTCAACATTCAAAATATTTCTAGAACTGAAAGAGTAATCTATGGTTGTTTGCCAGCGTGAGTCCCAGTTTTGATAAATTCGCCCTGTTTATGTGGACTTTCAGAAGCAATATTAACCACTTTGCGTTTTTCAGGTGTTGGAAATTTATGAGAGTCACTTAGGACTACTCAGGATAGGACCATTTAATTATGAACCGTTAAGAGGGGTGGATTTATGGTTAGAGCAGAGCGATGAATTTATTTTACAGCATTTATCAACTTCTCCTGAAGTTGAACCTCCTCATTTTGTTATGCAGGTAAATTAACCATTACTGCACGAAATTGCCACATGGCAGTGATAATCCTGTAAACTAAATGTAATTGTTCCAGATAAGAGCGACTTTAAAGTACATTCAGGACAATCAATTTCCAGCAGTAACTGTTTTTCGCGAAAACCGCCCGCATTATTTTAGAAGAGATGAACATTCAGGAACATGGCAACCTATAAGATATTAACAAAATTTTATGCACTCTTGAAGAAATAAAATTGTATATATATTTTTTACAAACAACGCCCCGTCATGGAAGCGTGGAAGACTTTGCTTAGAAGTGCAATATATTTGTTTTTCCATTTTATAATGCACACATGTGTTTGATACAGATTAAGTTTTTTAAAATTGAACGTTAAATAATTTTGTAAATGATGTATTAAGTTGGTGTTACTTGGCTATCTTGTGTTTTTAACGGCACATTGCTTTTTGATGATTTTATGTGATGTTAGTCCTTTTCATATTTTCTAAAGTGTACATTACTTGTTATAAATAATACATTTAGAACTTTTGTAACATTTAATGTAAAATGATATTTCATATTTACCTACTGATAAAACATAAAAATCATTTGGTTTTTTTTTACACTACTTTATTTTTGGTCTCGAAATCAACTTACCGATTGAAATTCAAAAGTAATTAGCAACACTACATAACTGTACAATAATGTTACTACTTTTCAAGTTTAAACATATCACTTAAAGGTTCACTTATACCTACATCAAATGGGTGGGAATAGGAATACAAGGAAAAATTATTTTTTTAGAGGGTCGAAAATGTTTGGCTTGGATGCTACATGCCGAAGTATCCAAAAATTTTTGTTCCTCCTTTAATCTTTTTTGCTCACCAACCATAATGGATAAAATTATGAAAAAGGAGATTTATCTAGGTTTTTGGTTTATTTCCGATTTCCAGATCTCCAGTCAAGACTTTTTTACGGGTCTCGGTGCATCTTATAGATGAAAAATGAAAATGTGCAAACACGAAATCGACAAATCTCGGTTTTTCTCGCATATCTTCGGAAGTGATCGGAATTTTCTGGTTTTCTTTAAAGAATAATAATAACTCTTTAATTGTACGCTCGATATTGACGCATATATGATAACGGAAACCCAGTGTACGAAGTGTAAAAATGCAAACCACATCGGCATGGTACGACTCAAGTGACTTCGCCCTGTATCGATCGATACACAAAATACCAGAGAGCGACATCAACGAAAAAAGATATTTAAAAAACCTATAATCCGATCGGGTCCAATCTAAACCATCCGGGGACACCCAGAGATACATAAAAAAAGTTTTATCAAAATCCGTTCAATCGTTTAGGAGGAGGAGCAGTCACAAACACACGTACAGAAGAATTTTATATATAAAGATTAGAATGTGGTTTCTAAAAGTGCACATTTTTGATCATATATCCATGTTAATCAAATTTTGGAACTAAGAACAATCTGACACGCGGATATTCGGATCAAAAAGTTTACTAAGAACACAAAGTATAACCACATTTAATTCTAAGCAACTCAGACTTGGGACGAAAGTGTGAAATTTATTGTTAAGATGAAGATGGACAGTGCTATTGGATAACTGTTATAAAAACACTGCTTTTTCATGAATTATAATAAGTAATAAATAATTAAAGTTAGAGCCAGCAAACAGAAATTGATAAACAAGTACCTACTTCATTTAAGGCGAGAAAGTCTTATTAGTATCTAAGTACAACAGAAACATAACATTTTCAAAATGATCAGGCTAGCTTCATAGGGGTTACAGTCAGTTGCGACTGTAAAAGAGTTGGTTATTCAGTGGAGCCGGAAGTAGGTAATAGAATTAATTTTTGTCTCCATAAACCCCCATATTTATTTCGTATTTGCTCCCAAAGTTTTATACCAATCTACTTTGTCCGCTTCGCAACAACTGCGTCCTAATTATTATTTTTTGTTTATTTCTTTTTCCGCATGAAAACCTCTTATTTCAAAATTTTCCGCATTTTCAATTCTTTTCCAAATTCCTTAATTTAATTCTTTAATCGGGAATGCAGTTACTGTTTAAGTCATACATTCTAGAAATTTCCTCTCAATACCATGGCAAATTGGGAATAATTAAACTGGTATGTATCAAAATTATTATTATTTATTTGTACAAGAACGTTGATCGTTTATATTAAGAATAATATAACAATTAAAGAGAAATAAGAAGATTACCTACGTTCTTCGTATCACCTTAAAGCGTTAATTTTTTGTTATTTGCGACTCGGGGGATACTTTTCTAACCCGAAGGACCAATTTTCAAATGAGTATAGCTTGCGTTTGAAAACTGATTTTGAAGAAACTGTTCGACAATTTTGTTCCTTAACTCATCAAGTAAGTAGACAACAAATTTTGTGGAATTCTCTCCATGTTCGTTGTCCGGCCAAGAATTGCAGTGAAATTTTTTTCTAATTTCTAAAAGTTAATTTCAGATTCGTCATTTTCAAGTTGAAAAACCCCCAAATACCATATTTTAAGTTATTACTTGTCCATATATGGGATGTGTTGTACTCAAGCGTTTTTGAGTATGAGTTTTTAATAATATTAAAATACCGTCTTTATTGCCTTTATTTTATTTCAAGTTATTGTCACACTGACAGACCTGCATAAATGGTCGTCTGCGTCTGCCTGAAGGGTACACTAGTGGTGCTTGCCTTTCTAAAATTAAACATGAATATAAATGCACATGGAAATATGACAAAACAGGAAGAATACAAATTTGATCGATATCACGCTTTATTTCAGTAGTGATCGTTTTCACTGTCACTACACGAACTATGGTCTGCAACCGGGTGGCCCTTCTCGTTGAACGATTCTAGAGTTATTTCCTTATATTCGAATTCGAACTAATAACGTTGTAAGTTAGTAGTTACTAGTTTGCTCGTTTTCTATGCAGTAGCTTCCTAGATCAAGAGAATTGCAATAGTCGAAGCAACTCTTCCGGAAGGTCTCACACGTTTGAAATAATCCCACAAACCTATTAATTACACACGAATAGTAATTTACAATCTATACATACCAACTTCGCTCTATTCATTGTGTGTTGAAATATATGTACGTTTTATACAATCCCGTGGGATACCAGACGTGCAGGTGATGCAAAAATTAAATTATTAATCAATGATAAAAGCAAAATTGCTTGAGTATTTCAAGTGTACTAGGTATAAAGCAACGAAAATTTGCTTTATAAAATTGAGAAAACGTAGAAATACCCACTGTTCACTACGCGACGCGTGGGAAATGCTAGAAATGATTACGGTGTGCAGTTTAGAATCTACGTCGTTCACTCATTTCTGTCTAACAGAAATATGAAATGTTTATTTTACAAATCAGTGTTGTTCTATTCGATCTATTAGGCAAATGAAATTAGTTGCACATTAGTATTTTTTTTGATAAGCAATAACTTTTGTTTTCAAATAAGATTATACTTCCTGATAAACAGAATAGAACGGGCAGAACAATATACCTGCCGGTAAATTGTGTTGTTTGTCGGGAATATTTTTAACGCGGATACCTTTTTTTTACACATAAGGCTGATATACTTCCTACGAAGCAGGGCGGGCTTAACTGGTTTGGTAATATTGCCTCATTTTGGAAACAAGTTGGAAAGTACTCGGTGCGTCGAGCTACTTAAGCGCGTTTTTGTGCGACGGACTGAGGTTTTATTAGCGCTGCATGCAAAGAATTGTGATACAAAGCTAGTGCATCAAACCCGAGCATTCTACGATGATTCCTTCGACAGTTACACTTAAAAAACCTTTGCAGTCGACCGACCGACCGACTGAACAGCCAAAGTGATTATATATAAGCGCTACTTTTTTTTCAAAAACACTCTTCGGTCGGTCAGGCGCATGCATATTATATTTTGGAAGCCGAGAAACCTCGATCAGTCGCACAAAAACGCGTTTAAGTAGCTCGACGTATCGAGTACTCTCCAACTTGTTTAAACAGTTGAGTAGATACAAACCTGCTATAGATGATACAATAATATTGGGCATTGAACATAAATTCAAAATTTCGGAATATTGTGTAGGGCGCCAAAATTAACGTCGCAAATTTGAACTTTAAAATCAGCAGAAACCCAAACCAAAACCAAGAAGGCATCGTGAGAATGTAAAAAGTGTAATTAACAATGCACTTTGCTTACGTGGTTACGATTAACGGTACCCTATCCCGTTTTACTCAGGATCTACTGTATTTCAAATATTCATAAACCAGTGCAGCTATGTGATCTATTGAGTATGGTAGCAATTCGCCGAATTATATAATCTTCAAATTGTTAACAATTTACTGCACTGAAACGTGGATATCACATGAGAACTGTTTGGGGGTACAACGAACCTACTCGCAAAAATAAAGTACCTATCGCCGCTTTAGTTTTAATGTTAAACCACAGTCTATATTACTAGTTTGCTGAATTGAAAGTTTAAAATTAATATTATAAATAAATAAATATAGGTCTGATTGATTTGTAGTACCGATTCCAATATTCATGCGGCAGAGTGGAAGAGGCTGGTATATAATGTGATTCTTAGCACCATTTATGTATTGGATACATTTTGAAAATCGCCCTCATCGTTTATGGCCAATGGCCATTTTTATTTCTTTACTACCCGTCTGCTGGCTAGCATTTATTTTTATCAGTTCAATATCAGTGTTAAAGACGTATATTATTGTTGCTGTGTTAAATAAACGCTCTTTAGTATTTAATATTTATCTTTTTGTGAACGTACTGCTTCTTTTCTTGTTATCGACCTCTAAACCTGTTGGAAGGTAAACATTATTACCTAATATTATTATTATTATATCATAAATCTTAGTGCACATTAGTAACAATTTAACACTACTTTAGATATACATATGTAATGTCAAGATCGATTCTGAGAAACAATCTTTTATATCTTAAAGGCTGTGATGTGTATGAATACCTACGACCGTCATTTCTGCATAAAGCAAATGTAATAAGCTACTTCCTTTAAACGAATTAAATTAACAACGCTTAAAATCAAAGATTATTTGCCGCATTAAACACGGTGACAGGACAGAAAATTACACGAGCGGAAAATTGAGCAATTAATGGGGTTTGTTAAAATCCGAAGAAAATTAGTACGCATAATCAATTTCAACAGGGAACATCTGAGCCCACCTTAAAACATTGAATTTCGCAAGATATTAAGTCGTATCACTTCAATATAAAATTAATTCACTTTATACAATACACAGCATATTAGTAGAAGTTAAGATCTCGAGATTTTCAATATAGATGCTTTAATATTCATAATGACTTATTCAAGTTGTTTAAATTTTAAGCAGTTAACGAAATGAGCAAAAACCTCTTAGCAACTGTTCGACTTCAGTTTCCGCTACATTAACTTATCTTATACCTATTTTTTTAGTGTTTAGGGAGGTAAGTAGGAATGTTTCTTAAATTGAGCTCTTTGTATAAATAAATTTCGACGGTCTGCTGTTCTCCAATCTTCACTACAAATTAGCATTACTTGAATGTGTACCGTGTGTAGGGTATTGTACCGAATATTCCAGAAATCCCAATACAAATCTAGGCGCCAAGAAAAATTAGTCATCGGTGATAAAGAACGAAGGAGGACGTGACACAATCTTTCATTGAAATATCGTGTTTATTCTAGAACATTCTGAAGCGTGCTTGAGCACTCAAGACCATTCTAGAAAGGATGGTGCGTGTGCCATATAAGCAAATCGAATTGTGTTTCGAATTCAATTCCAACTTCGACGCTCTTGTGTTATGTTATAAAGTTAGTTAAGTGATAAATAATAATTACTGTTATAAATTAATCCATTTTAACACGGTTATAAATTTATTGTCAGTTGATTGTAAATAAGTAAAACCACGTAATTAAATTTACGTTACAGTATTATTAGTTACATTTATTTGGATATGTGTAAATAATGACCAATGTACCTATTTAAACGTAAGGTTTTCGACGTTATTTATGCAAATACATTCAAGTGCATTTTTCAATATCTCGTCGATGTAGGCCAGGTATCTACATGAAAACATTTCATAATTTGTTTTTCCATTACTTAGCGATCTAAACTATACGGCCCAGGACATATTTGCATGCTTAATAATTAACAACCTTAAACTCTACAATGTGAAATTGTCGATTCCCCACTAACGTATTACGTTATCCTGTCAACTGCAGACGAAATTGTTTAAAATTTAAATTACGCGTTATTTCAGTGTAAGAAAACCTGTACACTAATATATAACCTCATAATTAATTCCAAACAATGTGCAGGCTTTCTTCTCATTTTAATGAAAAATTAATATAGTGCATAAATATTTACAAACACTTAGAGCTTTTATGAAATTTCGATTTGCTTTGCGAAAACCTAGAAGACACATTTTCTTTGTAATCAAATTACCCGAGAAATTTCCTGTCAATTTGATATGTATCCATACATTCTATTTAAAAATAGTATATTAAGTATGGAGAACGGTAAGGGATTTTTACCGTTCGAAGACAATTGTTTGGAGGAGGAGCGAAGCGACGACTCCAATTATTGTCTGAGAACGGTAACCCTTAACGTTCGACGTGCTTATAACATTTTTTGCGCGATCGAAGTTAAAATGATGTAACCAATATAAATATGCATAAGAAATTAACGAGCAGAATAAATCGAAATGATCGAAGTGGTATGGTGTACATCACTAGGTAACCAGTTTATTTGTCAAAATTGAAATTAATAATTTCATCAAATTGTGCATGTGTCTGATGTAGTTTGCTAGCTTTGCACTTCCTTTATGACTTTAGGAGCGTCTTTCTATAGGAAACAACCAGCACAAATTGTACGTTTAATGTACCTAACAATAATTAAAGATTAAATGTAATGTAAGACTGTTGATTTTCAAAAAGGCGTCGGTAAGTATTTTTGCTGTTCTGTTTTTAGATCGGTAAGTAATTTTGGCGTCGTCGTAATCATAGCAACTGGTAAATGCTACGTACTGTCATGGAAACACACATGGTAAATAGTCAGAAATGACCGATCGCGCAAAAAATATATTACAAACAAAGTATCTTATTTTTGAGTGCAGAGAAAATGTGGAGGAAAAAGTTGTGGGCAGTGGTATCCATAGTACATCTAACTAAATTTTTTAAAGTATATATTCTTAGTTACGTTACGACACAAACTACTACTGGGTTGGTAAGTAACTAACTATAAATAAATAAATGATAGCTTTTTTACTTTAATTTACTGCAAGTGCCGTGGAATTCTTTGGAAATTCAGAATATTGCCAGTAAATTAATTTTGAAGCATGGAAGATATTTGAAGTTGAGATTATAATAGTTTGCCACAACCACAACTAACGTTGAATTATTTTTCTTAGTGGACGAATTTGAAAAGTCTTAAGAAACAACCGAACAATGTGAGGAAACCGAAGGATCAGAAAAATGTAGAGAATTCGATGGATATGACGATTGTAAAGCATTCGAATAATCGAAGGGCTTATAACCAAAAATTTAGAAAAATCCTGAAGAAACTGAAAAAGCGAACGTCTTTAGAAGGATCGGAAAGATCTGGAAAGTCCAAAGGAGCAAGAGAATCCTAAGAACTTTTGATAATACTGAAGGATCAAAAGACCCAAACAATGTGCAGTATTGAAATAACGAAAGGATCGGAAGGATCCAAATAATCGGAAGAATCCAACGAGAATCGGAATAATGACATACAAACGATTATACAAAACTGTATATATACGACGATCCTTAATGGATTTAGTTAGAAAGATTACTTTATTTCCGAAAACAAGTATAAATGTATTTATGACATGCTCTAAAATTTAATTTGCCCCCTCTCCCCCCTTTCTACGCTGTCAATCCCAATGCAGATTTAACTTAAAGCATTGAATAACATAATTTTTCACTCAACGCTTAAAAGTAACTATAATTATTGTTTTCGTCGGTGTAAGTAATTGTTTAAATGGGAAATATCTTTCTTCCAGTCTCTAGACATTTTCTTAACAATTCTCACATTGGAGATGAAACAGACCATGATGCTAGTATACTGCGGCTTTAGGTTTTCGTTTTAATTCCGCTATAGAAGTAAATAACGTATCATAAAAGGAGAAAGGGGAATTTTAGTCTCTCATGAAAGGCGTTCGTTCATTCGTGGCGGAAGCATCCTTCACCTTATGGTTATTTTGTATAGAAAATAACTATCAATTTAGTATTCGAAGATATAAATACCATTTTTTTATTTTCATCATATGTAGCATTATTCTTACACTATGGTAGCAGTCGCTGTATGCAGTGGTGTAGTCTTATTTAAGAAATTCGATAACCAATCTCTAAGCTCTTACTCCACAATTTGTACGTTATGGAATTTTATTCGATTGCTCGCTACCTACGTTGCTTCTGACACGCAATAATTTCAGCAGGAAATAATTTGTAGCCAGAACATCGCAAACGATTGTATAAAGGAGATTTAATTACAAACGCAACAGGGGTACATTTAATTCAATCAAGTTACGTTCACATTCGATGAAAAACTTTTATCCGATATTCCAAACTGAGTTAAATTACTAGTAAATTTTATCCTCTGGAAATACTTCAGACACAGATATATATTGTATCGAACATTAATGTACTCGTCACCAAAGATTGTTACTTCCCTTTCTCGTCGTGTATAACACAAAACTTTATTTTACAGCAGAAGAAGAAAAATTCTGAATTTGATTTTGGACGTCAAAAATAGCAAGTTTATATTCTCCCATCCTTTCCATGGAAACAATATCATACTCTGTTCTGAACTTCATTTTATTTTGTGCTCTCATTTGTAATAAGACTAACAGATGTCATAATCATTTGTTTCACTTTACTTGCCGTTCAAGTGACCACTCTCTCTATTCTTTCTGTTAAATAGTTAGCCTACTCATTTAAACCTATTAAAATATCAGTTTAATATCTGCTATAAAATAAAAACCTTATATGAGTTATGCTTATGACACACTTGATAAATAAATAGCTACCTTTGGTTTGGTCAACCAAAATGACAGGATTTTTTCTAATTAAATCAGCGTGATGCGTTGCCCAATCGACTGATATTTAAAAACACTGATTTTTGAACTGTGAAGCGGAAGGTTTACGTTTTCGTTCCGTTCTTGAGTTAGACAAAGGGAAGACCACTGGACAGTCCAGTACGTAACATTTTTTCCTAAAATTGCCTTAGAAAGTTGTTTGATTCACTACAGGTACTCTTCCAAGTTTAATCAAACTTCAACGCATATTTGATGGCATATACGACGTTGTCATATTAGAACATGCTTGTCAGCACAAATTTCAAGCTAAGTCGATAAAACAAAACGTGTTCAGTAAATAATAAAGTGCGCTCTCACGAGGAAACCTTTTAAAAATATTCAATTATGATCCAATATAATTAACCTTTTCCTATCGGTGGAGGATCATCGAACGCAGATAATAAAGGTTTAGCATGTCCTCTACAGCATTTTCATCCGAGTTCAAGTATGGCGAACTTTTCTTTTGGCTACGTTTCAATTACTTCCCATTTCATGCTATATACACGCAACCGGATAACTTTTGTTTTGTTCTCTATAAAAGAGACATGTAAAATTATGATAAAAAATCATAGTAACTATATCATAATAAGAATCGCAAATACATACACCCTCGTTTCAGCAAAAGCTTCTCGGTTTGTCGCGTTGAAGCTTTATAATAAACTACGTATATAAACTATAATACGAGTAATAAGACTGTCAACCCATTGCTTCTAACCATACTCGTATAATAAAGACAAAATATATGTATGTATGATCGATTTGAAGTTGAAACAATTTGAGATGGAACTGGCGGTTCTATTTTTTTAAGAACATCCTGAAAGATAAACATTTGGGAAGCAAAATTATTTTTTGTTTACGGAAAAATAAATAAACTTACTCTTTTATATTTTATTTATCCTTCGCCCTGGTCGGATACCAACAAAGACTAAAAACAATTTCATATTGTAAGTTTAAATGTGTTACAGATTTACTGTTTTTTGTTTATTATTATTAATCGAAATTGTTTATGAATAATGTATTGTAAGATGTCTTGAATTGAAAGATTCGTAAGCTTATTCATTTAATAAGGCGAATATTGGTCATCAATTTAGTGAAGACCTTCTCGAATATAAAACTTGGGGTAGATCCTTTGAACGCTTTAGATCTAATAAATTAAACGGGTCTGGTTTTGATAGATTCAAATTTGTAGGGAAAGGTTCGGAAATCGGTGAGGCACGCATTGCTTGTTTATTATGAACTTGGCTAACTGAAGCTAATTTCTCCCAAGCGGCTGGCAGTAAGGCAGATAGAACTTGGAACATTAATAATTCCGCAATTAAGTTAGCCTGTGGATTTTTACATACAGAGTGGACCGAATCACTACTTAATAGGATTACACATTTTCGGGTAAATATACCAAAGTAATTTACGAAGATTTATAAAATATAATATTATTGTATCTCTGTGTTTAGATGTCAACGAGTACCTTTGTATTACAACCTATTACCTCTTGAAATTGAACACACTGGGTCTCATAATAACTCACATAAGGTAGTTGAAGTAATAAACACTGAAACAAAAACACCAAGGAACCATAAAATAACTGTCGATAGCGAAGTTGTCACGTACAAACCTTATTCTATTTATACCAATTACAAGGGAATGTGTGTATGGGTTTTTAATGGAATCCCTCAGCATTATTCATTAGGATGTAGGTATTTGTTTTTGTAAATCACTAAACTTAGTAACAAGCTAATTCATTCCGACTATAGTTACTTTATTAATTAAGTTTTGGTACTTTACGAGTGGAATCACATCTATATAGTACACGCACGACGACACCGTAGACACACCTTTGTGCTCATGTTATGTACCTAAATGCCAACAAAAATGCAAAATTCGTAATTTTTCGTCTACACTGGCCACTCCATTCCCTATTTCGGGGGTCCGGAGCAATAATATGCGAATTGCGACTACCAATCCGGATGTTACACACCTGAAGGACTTAACTGCGGATGTGAACTATGGAACCAAGAGGTAGAAGTTGGTTTGGCGGCGTAATTTCAGGGCATTGGGTACGTAAATAATAAACTATATGAAAACATAAATGTAATGTAGGACTCCATTATTTAGTTGATGCAAAGAATTTAAAAGATTTTTTAAACCAAATATATTTTGCGAAAAGAAAATGAAACTATATTCAGTTTAAAAAATTGTCTAATTTCTTTATATAAAAACATACGTCCTAAGTTTTCTTAATTAAAACCTAACTCTGTTATTATGCAAACTATCAAAAGATTTAACGAATGAAAACGTTACAGTTAAACATTGTGACTTCCTCCCTATCACTTTCAGGTAAAATAAAGTTACTTTCGCTGTTGTAGCAATTTCCCCTACAACCACAGCTCCGAGTGATTGGCTCTCAATTTTTGTCAAGTGTCGGTCGGTTTTGCAGCCTCTCTTGCAGCCCCAAGACACGAAGAGGACGCACGCATGAGGATTCAAGTGACATCAAAACTGGCTTGATTGCATTATCCTGGATTCGCCATCCACACTCCGTTACAGAAGCAAGGCGCCGTGGACCTTCACAGATGAATGTAAAGTTACATGTGATTAGGTAGTAACATGACTACATTTACATATTATCGCTCTTGAGCTGGTAAATTTTTCATAACTTCAATCTGAAATTTTTGCCTTGTTTTTCTATCAAGTGTTTTCATTTCTATGCCCTACATGCCACAGAAATGGTCAGAAGAATCGAGCGTACTTGCTTTATCTAAATGTTCCATCACTAACCTATCGATATTGTCTAAATTCTGGTAGGCACTTTATCGTCTTCTTATAATTAAAAATACTATGTTCTATTCGTGTAAATACAATAAAGAGTATATTAATATGTTCAGCAGTTTAGATATCCTACTTTTAGTATTTCCAGTACTAAAGTTGCAGAAGTATACTTGCACTTGTAGTACCAGAACAGCATTCTTCATCATTAGCAGTTATTCTTGAAACATTTGATTTAGTTTATGGGTAATTAAATGCAATACATAAAATTGCAAACTTTTTGGTTCCCTTACCTGATATCGGTCGGATCATCTATGAAGGTAAGTACCGGATAATGGTTTTCCGATTATGACTGCAGCTTCTTCCTAACTAATACCACTACATAAATACTTCCACAATTGAACATGTTGCTGCTTGTAGTTCTTTTTCACATAATTCCATATTTTCCGTATGTCTTCTATGGACATTTGTCCCTGTAAAGCAGAGTACACTGTTAACTCCAATACTTTCTTTATAGGTACTGCGTGGTCTTTGAATTAACGGTAACTTTTCATTATACAATTCCGGTCTTTTAGAATACTTCACCAATTTCCTAACGTGTTACATTTTAATCTCTTTCTTAATCTTTGTTTCCTAATTCACAATTAATCACTTGAAAAACCGTTGTATCCAGCAATTTTGTATTAGTAAGCAATTCTTTATCGTAATTTTCTACGAAATCTATATGAACCAAAAGGTTAAAATAAAGCAGTCCATGCTATATGCAATCATTCGAATCGTTAATTATGAATCTCTTAGTTCTGGTATATCAGAAGGTGGATGAAATTGGGGATGAAATAACAATTTTGGCATAGGTACCTACTTACTGCCTGATGATCTCATTTCGATAAGGTGTTACAGGAAATAACGCAAATATTCATTCTCATTCGTTAGTTATTCCCTTCGCAACACAATGTGAAGCGAATGGAAAAGTAAACGGTTCATTAATTCTTTTAATTGAAAGGTAACATTACTAACAATGAAGAAGACAAATGTATTATTTCAAGGAGCAAAAATAAATTCTGCGGAGGCAGCTTGTAATTATAGGTTGTTTACAAGGCACAGCATTTCGATATTTCCGATGCTTTGATGTATAAGAGCTCGCGTGCTTTTTTAAGGCACGTGTCATATTTGATGTTAAACATTAATTACAATCATTTTCATCCTTGTCGTTACTGCTTCAAAACTATGTTTACCTAATAATTGTGTGTATACGATGTAACAAAGGAAATTGATATAAAGTCAAAATTTACTGTATAAACACTTTGCTAATGAGATTCGATATAAACTAAGGTATAATTGGCATCGTTTTGGCGAACATCTCATTACCAACAGAACTCCAAAGAAATAACTATTTTGAATTAGCCCTCTATTACACGATAGCTGCAGGTGTACTTTACCAAATTGCGTCAGTTCTGAAATGACAAAAATTTTCCTAAATTCGAATTTAAGCAATTTAAATTGCAAATTTGAAAATACCAAAATGTATAAATAAAGGGTAAGTTATAGTGAATAAGATTAGGGCACATTAAAAGTAATACATAAAGTAAGCGTAACCGTCGAAGAAGAAACGGAAAATTTACATACCGAAGACCGTGCAAAAAGGCTTTAGATTCCGCTTAAAATGCTAAAGATTTCTAGGCTCGAGGAATTATTACACACTTTAAATGGTAAATGAATTAAAGCTATTTCGTTTGCATTAAGACTCATAATAGGTAATCGATGGTAGGCTATAATTTATGTAAACACGTAATATACCATTTAGCAAAAGTTGAACTAATAAAAACTGAAAACTATAATTTAAAACAAACAGTTCTCTTACTTTAACACAAACTTCGTGCCGGCTGTAACAATGAAAATAGCTCTGTGAGAAAATATTCCCTACATTCAGACAACCAAGTGTGTGTGTGTGTGTGTAGCTGTAGAATCAACACAATCTTGGTTAGCTCCTTATAGAAATCGTCCATGTAAAGGCTTTTAGTTCCATATCTGTATGTTAGTTGTGCCATTGGTACTGTTTTGTGTAGGACTAAGTGTTTGATTTGTTATAAAAGTATTGCCGTAAATTATGTATTTGTGTTTAGTACAATAGTTTTAATGTGTGTAAATGCTCTACCTCCTTGTAGGACGTGTTTTGTTAATAGTGTGAATGTGTTTCTCTGTATTTGTTGTAAATCTCTGTTTGTCCATTGTCAATCTGCAGGGGCACCTCTAAAAAATAGTATTTGCGGGTCATTCTGTAATTGGGCGCAAGCCTGTTGAGGGCCCAGAACAAGAGAGAAATAATAAATAAATAAATAAAAAATAAATAAATAATTCCCAAAGAGTATGTAAGTACTAAGTACTGTGGTGTGGAAAGTGTTAACAGCTTTCATTGTATTTCTATCGTGTTTTTTTTTGTTTTAAGTATACTGAATATTTTTTGTAGGTCTTGTGTGACTCGTTGTGTGATAAGTGTTTGTTTGATACTTGTATGTTTAATCCGTGTGTGTTTTGTTGAAAACTGTTATAATATACATATATTATATTAACCCACAAAGAGGACGGTCAAATCCAGAACAAAATGACACCCAACGCTACTGAATACGCGGTCGCGAGACCAAGCACATTCATTGATGAAATGAATTCATTCTCAATCACGAATCACTCCATCAACAGACATCGTCAATCTTAGAACCATCCACCGTCATACCCAACCGCGTCAAGCGTCACCCCAACTTTAATAGTCATCCTTATCCCTCTTCAGTAATTTCTTTATCACCCAAGGAAGAATAGATTAAATGTTCAGTAACCCAGAAGCTTGTTTCCTATATTTGTTACAAGTATTTCACATTATACCCTTGTTTGGGGGATAATGCTGATGCCACCAGAGTCCAGATTAAATATACTCGGCAGTTAAAACTTAAAAGGAGATAAAGGTAAGCGTTCATTGAAACGGGGCAGACGCGCGGACTCGCCGGAGACAAATTCTTTAAATGATATTATATGAAGAGGCGTTTACTAACGCGCACTTGCATTAAGTACAATGGAAGTAATAGTATTTTATGGCTAATCCGTTGCGTCCGACGCATCCGCTCCGCCTCAGTGGGCGCTTACTTCAAGATCGTACTTTTTGCTTAATATGTATTTGACAAAAAGATGACTAAATTGTAACTTTAGATTTACAAATTGACTTGATATTAAACGATAGATATAAATTAGCCACGCTGCAATTAATCAAATACTCAAGGGGTTAGGAATTATATATAGGTAATTTTTTATTCAATGATATAGGATATAAGAATAGGATAAGAGAGCGTAAGGGTTTACATTTTTACACAAACTCAGCGTTGAGACGATTTCTAAATGCGCAGAGCAAAAACGGCAATGCAGCACTTATGACATAGTTTTGGAGGTGCATCGCATAAGCACTGGTAATTCATTGTTAAAGTACGTAGAAAGTAGATGAGGTCGCTGATACCCAAGGGACAATGCACTCCGCATAATCGATATACTCATGGAGACTTGGCGCCAGAGTCACTCTTTTCCTATTTACCACCAAATTAACAACCGGTGCTCTTTATTCGTGTACTCCACGGTGCAGTATTCATTATTCAATGTAATTTATTGATTTTCGTATACTTAAGTACATGGATAAAATTTGACCATTAGTATGGATGGCAACACCAACCACAACCATGTCCTTGTATATTTTTACAATAGTTTCATTTGTCTATTCTCACTATTTGTGGCATTTATATTTTGTTCCCTGTTTATCTTTTGGAAGAGTTCAAAAGTGCTCGTTTCGTTTGAAATGAGCGTCAAAAATTTAACATAAAAAATAGAAAAGGAATTTAGTGTTATCTCTAAACCTAATCGGTTTTTTATCAATTGAAATGTTACGAATGGGAAATAAAATTGATTAACAGAAGTAGGTTTGTCGTAAACGTGAAAAGGGCAAGTTCATTTACTCTGATGGCTCAAAATGAATTTCAAGCACTAATCGTATTGGTTCAGCTGTTGAAAACAGAATTGCAATCCAATAATGTCAATGTTGGAGAGTTACAGCTGAATTACTTTGTCTGTTCTGTACGGATACATAACCGACGGGTTATTAATTAAAATTCGTAAGGGTAAAGTGGAAACTTTCCAGTTGCGATAAATTGTTCATTATCATAATCTATTCGGTAACGTCATGTGATTTTTCGTCAACAGCTTGTCAAAAACTACCTCTATTTAGAATTTTGGTTTAAAGTCTGTTAGGATACCGAATCTTTCTAAGTGTTAATTTAAAAGGAAATATTGATCTTTAAAAATAGTAGTTTATTTAAACAATGTATACCGTAGGTATATATTCGAGATTTGAGTATTATTAAATTCTATAATAATTGCATTTATTTCTGTACCTTTGACATGAATTTCATTTTTAGTTACTTACATTTTTAGTTTTTCGTTGTAGCTGCTTTAAGTTTATCTAACTCAACTATAATCTGCTTTCTTAATTTAATAAATCTATATACCATTCTTTGCTATTAATTCTCCTCTCTTGACATGGCTAATTTTGACTTAAACCTTAAATTAGGTCATTTAAATGTGCGTTCCTTGACAAACCAATTCCTTGACTTTGGAACACATTTGGGAAACAGTTATGATATTTTTGCTGTCACAGAGACTTCGTTATCACCATTTTATCGAAGTTTTTGTTCAGTAAGTTGAATTTGTGTGGTTGCTTGGGTTAAAGGTGGGGCTGGAGATATTACAGTATGTCGTGTGTCATGTGAGTCAGTAATGCTGTTTAGGTTTTTGCGTTTGGGTTGGATACGATTTATTATTATTATTTTTACTTAAGAAAAGTATAATTAATTTTCTTTTAGCACCTAAAGTTCATTTATTATATAAAGAGTTTATTTCAGTTATATAATAAAGTTTAATATTTTTTTATTTATATCTATTCTATTTAGCCCACCATAACTCGTCTTAACGTTGTAATATATCGAATTAGAAAATTGTAGTGCGCCAAACATCACATTCCGCTAGAATAAGTAATTTTGTTACAACCCCCATTGCATTCAATAGCGTTTCATGTTGGCAGCAGCCGTAATATTAAAACTATCATTAATCAAACTACATTCAATCTTACTACACCGATCCTGATCGAAAGGTAAAACCCTTGATAAATCTTTTATTCATCAAACGCCGTATAACCCAGGGATTTATATCTAGCCAGAGCTATATTTGCGTTGCCCTAATGTGAGTTTAGTTAGGAAGACTTAAAACAACTAAAACTCTGTTCAATATTTTTCCATATCCATGGATATGACTTTAATTTTCATGTATTTATAAGGAAAATGCGTTACTATAACAACATCCCTAAAACTGTTAACCCACGTATTTGCAATTCAAATTTTCTATAATGTAAAGGGTAATTGAAAAGAGGGTTGATAGCATTATTAATTTGTTCTTATTTTCCAATTTTCAATTATGATTAAAATTTAAATTGCTTACGCTCACTATAGTTTCTCGATGGGTTCGTATCAAGTTCGATAAGGTTTCATGTTTTTCTGAATGTAAATGACTTTGTCATCCTATATGCTTAAAATTCCTACAATTTTTCTCGTGTAAACAAGAAGTTGGAGTGCAGATGAGCGGATCTCATGTATTTAAGCACCTCATCAGGTAGGTACTTTTTCAAATATATAAGCAGAGGTATACACGCCCTTGTAGTGGAGAACTTAATGATGAAAAAAATTAGATAAGGGATAGACGTTTAAAGCCTTTATAAACAAGTTTAATACCTTTAAAAGTTAGAAACTTTCAGAACTCAATTATCTTTGTATTCAATTAAGGCTTAGTGAAATATTGATTTAAAAGGGGAAAACACCTAAGAAATGGAAATGAGACAAATTATTAGAGTAGGTAATTACGTTATACGGAATACAGCGATTAACGTGATGTAGTTTTTGGTAGGTAGGTATAATGTTAAGTACAAGTTTATACGCAACTTTTCAAAATAATACGTATTTCTGTTCGACTAATGCGGTATCGATAATTTTCCTTGTTTATCAACAGGAATCCAAGCAATGCTTTTAAGATACATTAGGAGAGGTTTACGCACCACGGTGTTTCGATTCTAAGCTTGTGGAATTAAAGTGTTGGAGATCGGAAACAAGATTAACAAACACCCTTAAATGTGAAATAGATTTGCAATAATAATTATTAATGGTTCATTATCCCAAAGATTCACATCATCGTACTAACAATATCCTGGGTGCTTATTTTTCGTGTCTTAGCATGGACATCTTGTGCGGTGGTTAAATTTACGCAAAGTTCCTAAGTTTAAAACATAATGTTAATACCGCAGGGTAAACCAGTTACGTCGAAACCTAGAGCGGTGCCCGGGGCAATTTAAGTGGCCAGGGCCCCTGATGTTAGATTTAAAATATTGTGCATAAGAGTACAAGAATAATTTTATTTGTATATATATGTAAGTAAAAAAAAACCAGTAATGAGGATGTAATACTATTTAATAATCATGTACAGTACGGAGCTACAAGTTTCAAACGGGCGAAGAAAAAAATCTAAAAATTTCAGAATGAATGAAGGGTCATAAAAACAATATTTTATGTGATTTAAAACTTTCATAGTTTCTTAACGGGCGATAACCCCAAAATTTTTAAATTGTAACCTCTGCCGTTTCCGCTTATTGTGAAGGTAATTAAACAAGAAACACATCAACATAATTTTTTCCCTCATCAAGTGTAGGTTAAAAAAACTTGAGCTGTCGCTGCCCATTAGAGTATTTAAGTTTGTCCTTCGACCTCTGAAGCAAACCACATTATCACAACCCCATTAGTATTCAACCCAAGCGCAAAAACCTAAACAGCACTTGTGACAACATGACACACAACATACTGTAAGATCTCCACCTTTAACCCAAGCAACCGCACAAATACAACCTCAAGAACAAAGAAACACAATAAATACAAGTAACGCAACATGCACTACAAAGACAGGCTCACCCAATAAAGTTACACGTCTTAGCACAGTTAAAAACACAAAACTCCTTCTTCGCAGAAACACACCACGTTATCACAACCCACTCGTATTCAACCCAAACGCAAAGCCAAACAAACCCTTACACAATAAACAACGCCACTTACTTAAATTGCTAAATTTGCAGGAATTTTTTGTTTGGTTGTTAGCGTTGGCTGTTGTGGCCATCAATTTTGGTAAGTATGAATTACATACTATTCCTATATTTCCTTAATGTGTTTTTTTATTATTATTATATATACGAACGACGTACAGACAAACACTAATCGTTACTTGATTTTAATCGGTGCGATTAGTTAACCGGGGGGTTGTCACTCATAACGTCTCATAACGTCATTCAGGTTCCCCCTCGATACCCCCGAAACGGTTTTGCGCGATTTTCAATATCCTCTTTAGTTTGGAAAATATGACCGACTGCAAGTTTTAACATTGACACCCTGTATGACACTGAAAACTGTTACAATCAGAGTAACATTATTATTCTGATAAGGAAAGTAATAACTAATAACTATAAGATTACACGTGCAACTCAATAACCCGTTGAATGTGGTAGGAAATATCGTTTTCATGGAAAATTCTGCGTTTTTATAAGCGCTTGATCACTAACTATTATACTTCAATTCCACCAATAAAAGTTAGCAGTTTGAGTACGGATGTGCACATCCAAAATAGCATTTCACATCGTAAAAAATGAACGTGTAAGTAGAGTAAGAGTACGAAGGTCTTGCAAAAATAAATAAATAATTTTTGGAAATAAAATTGATCGTTCTCGGGCTGCGATGATGGTTTTAAGGAAATCAGTTTTCCTCGAGTGAGATCGTGAAAGCTCGCAAAGCTCAGTTTCAGCGCATTTTCGGCACAATAGTTGTGCTTTGACTGCGATAAGGGTAAAAGGAAACTCCTTCCTGACTATTTACTTCGGTTTTCTTTTCCGCTTTTTAGAGCGCATTTTCTAAACTTTGAACTATTCGAGGTAAGAGTTACACATTTTCGCACGCTTTTGCATATGTTGTCCTTCTATTAACAACGTCTTATTAGTGTGTTAGTATGTAAAGATTGTAGAATTAGTTTGCCATTCGTTTTAAATTGTAAAATTTGGTAAATAACAATAAATTTCATCAACTGTCCCATTTTCTTCTGCGATATATCGCCGGGAATTACTGTCATTAAATTGCGAAATACTGTGCGGTGTGTAATTTTTCTTTATCAGAAGTTGACAGCATGACTACGAAATTGAAACCATTTAGAAAAATTAAACAATGAAGTGTCCAGTTTTGGAGGGCATACAATTCAGTTTAAGCGAAAGATAAATTTTTCAGCGTGTTTTCGACCTATTATGATTAACGGGTTTGCTAATAACAAAAATCGTAAATCAATGAGCAAATGTATTTGTTTTTAACGTAAACGTATACCTTGCTGATTAAATTTTGCTACTAAGCCCTCTTACTTTTTTTTTATTTTGTTCCAATGAGTACCTATGTAAAATCGATGAGTAATTTCAGTAGTATCCCTTAATAAAAATATTTATTATTCAACATGCGTTGGAAAAGCACTAATTTATATCAACCTTTCATTACAAGTTTAATTACAATTTGTACAACCCTAATCATATGTATCTGCAAAATTAAGAGGGGTTGAACATGTAATCGCATTAGTGCTAAACAGAACATTCAGTAGCTATCTAAGAATAAAGCAATTTGTAGTAATTACGTTTTCGCTGCGAAGAAACTTGTCTCATCAGATCTGCCCAAGAAATGCTTACAAAGTGCATTTTTGTTTGGTGCAGGAAATGTTATTGGGTAAAGTGTTACTAGGTACTTGTGGTTTGGTTGTTCGTTAAAAAAAATTAAGGATAAGAAATACTTTATGCTTTGTAGTTCCCAATAATAAAGTTTGAAGGGCTCAAAAACATATTTTAGGAAAGCAATATTACATTGTCTGATGACCTCTTCAAATTTTATATGTGGGAAATGTGAAGGATAAAAGTTTGGGCTATAGAAATTACAGTTGATAAATTATTGTAAACTCAACAGCCAAAGGTTTCGAAAGAAAGTAAAAAAAATTTTTTACGATTTCAATAAATTTCAGTTTAAGGTGACGTTTTTCGGGGTTTTATATGTTTTTTGAAGTTTTGTAACAAATAGATTGGTGGTTAAGAAGAGTTTTCGCATGTCAGAGCCCCGAATATTGATGGAATTTTTTTCGTATATGTATAAAGGTAGATATGAATATATCAAGCATCTCAAACATCAGGCCGTAATACACAAATTAAAGAGTTCATTTATCCTGCATGAATGCGTGGGAGACCATCATTAATAATTACTACAACACGGTAAAATAGCACAAAATAACTGTATCCAAATATACAAGGCGGGTTGCTTGACCAAGAAGTGGCAAAGAAATTGCTTTATGCCAATTTTATTGAGGTGTATAACTTTGTAGTAGGTATAACTAGGTACTCGTAATACTCGTATAACCAGCGTAGGTGCTATACTATACAATATACTTTTGCATGGGATACATCGAGCGATATACTTCATTTCCAATCCTTTGGATTCAGATATTTCAAATAAAGTCAACATACATTGATTGTTCACAAAGGACATTTTTCTGTTTAAATATTTTATTATGCCAATTACAAAGTTTGAGAAAATATTCCAACGTATTTTTACCTGATGCTCGCCTCGAGCCACGCGTTTCCATCTCTCTACGCATGAAAATTCAATTTTTGTAATTTTTTAGATATACAGCTCACTTTTAAACTTGGGTAGGTATAATAGAGCACAGTGACCGATTTTTTTAACAAATTGAGAATATTTCAAATTTTAAATAAAATTAACTTTACCAACTTAAATTCTCTTTAGATTTATGTTGTTGGTATATCTCAACACGGATAAATCTTCTAGGTCTAACACAATTTTAGTTTGAAAATAATGTCGTTTTGAATTAAGATTTTGTCTTGTAGATCTAAACTTGGCAGACGATAAGCTTAAGGAATTTAATATAGATACGTATGTCACTATACATGTTAGGGGTAGATATTTATTTTACGTTTACTGAATGCCATTTCGTCTGGTATTATAAAAGTGTATAAACCGTTTCCAGGAAACATTGCTTCTTTTGTTACGTTTCCTACGGATTGACGCAAGGAAGGGAATCAGTTTCGGATATGAGCACATTAAATAAATGGTCCCATGTGCAATTTTATAAATGCTTATGTGTTTTAGTCAAACAGAAAGAAGTTGTTGATATCAATATTGAATTAGATTTCATACACATAACGCTTAAATTCGGAGGTTTTTTGATTTGCTCCTCACGAACCCTTTTGCATTGAAGCACTATTTCGTTCCCAATGTTATGTACAATTCCGCCTTTTACATTGGTTAACTTAAATGCGCTAGAGTGTGTGGGGTTGGAACTTGTATTATACTTTTATCTTCATTTTTTCTCTGAAAAATTTGTGATGAATATTGTGTCCATTCGTGTATCAGCTCCGAAGAAAGCTTTTAAGGTGCACTTGAAAATGCCCCAATTTCCAATGTAGCATTTCGAATGAGTTTACACTAGCAAAAGCACAATTTTGATTGACCACGGATTATCCTTATATCATCGGTGTATAAACACATGAACGTGGCGTTAAATTTAAGAAAACTATACATTACGATGTACAAATAACTAAATTTCTGTTCAACAGCAATGCATTAGATGTAATCTAACTCATTCAGAATGTAAAGCAGGTAGCATGAACAAATTCTTCGGAGTAAAACAAATAACGTAACTAAAAATTGTAGATATCGGCTTCGGATAAAGTCTCTATTATACGTTATTTATAGACACATTTAATTCAAAATATTGAAGTGTGAGAGGGCCCGAGTACTTTAATTTCCGAGTCAGGTAATGACATTTTACTAACGAGTTTTGTATTCAATTTTACCCGAAATCGTCTTTTAATACAATATTTCAATGTTTATATAATTCTCGCCAGGAAAGATTGCCGGTCACAGCACACCTTGTGTCGATCTACAATCCATGATTTTCTTAAGATGCGAGCGACTTCCAGAATAGGATCGTGCTAATTTTGAACGAAAAGTCTTTTTGTTCAACATTGACACGATACTATCCCGGAAGTCGCTTACAATCTTTTGAAAAACATAAATCGTAGATCGGGATCAAGTGTTCTGTGACCGGTAATCTTTCCTGGCGAGAGGTTTATATAACTTTTAATTAATGTCAATCTGTCAGTGATGACAGGAGTCATTATAGACATTTGTGAAGTCAAAAATGCGGCCGGTAAAGTTACGGTGCGGCCGGTAAAGTGACAGGTGCGGCCAGTAAAGTGACAAGCGGCAGGAAACGTAGTCTGCTATGCCTCTGTCATGGAAACTAAAACCTGGCAGAAAGTATAGGCATGAAAATGAAGGTTTCAGGACAATTTTGGGTAAAACAAATGTTCTAACGCAACTGTCAACATTTAGAAGGCTAAAACTGCATAAATATACAAATAGATTTATGGTCATGCATAACAGACGCATTTGTCACCATTTTCATTATTCGAAAAGTGCTGGAACAACACTAACCAAATTGATTTATTTCAAAGTAGAGAATAATGTATCATTAGCTTTGGTATTATTAATGAGCCAAATTCCAAACAGCTGCATACAGAAATAATTCACAATTAATTTCGGTATGAAACAAACTCGGTTTATTAATATGTTAAAGTGTAGTACATTCTATCAATTTACGAGGGTAGTTGAGTACATTAAAACTGATTTACAACCAGAGCTGGACAGTATTCGATTTTGCAAATACTTTTTAGTATTCAAATCCTTTAAAGTATTCAAATACTTTGTAATTAAATACTTTTATGGAAGCAGTATTTGTATTTGTAACTCAAATACTTTCACAAATATTTAGTATTCGAATACTTCGCAAGGTATTTGAATACTTCGCATAGTATTTGAATACTTACCCTTCCATTTTTACCAAAAATCGACTACACCAAAATTTCTCGGGAAAACACTTTTTCTTATTAATTTTGGTGCATAGAATCCAAATCAATTCGTACTTTTTCGATCAGACTTCTCAATCAAAAGTTATAGACAAGAAACCAATTTCGAAAGAAAATTCAAAGGGCTGTAACTTTTGAACTAGTAGCCCAGTCTTGGAACTGTTTGAAATTATGGATTCTACAGGCCACATTCTATAAGAACATTTTTTTTCCGAATCGATCTGAGACAATTTTTTTTTCGAGGCTCAAAAAAAGGCAGTGTATAACCTTCCTTTTTTTACCAAAAATCGACTCCACCAAAATTTCTCGGGAAAACACTTTTTCTTATTAATTTAGGTGCGTAGAATCCAAAAGAATTCGTACTTTTTCGATCAGACTTCTCAATCAAAAGTTATAGACTAAAAACCAATTTCGAAAGAAAATTCAAAGGGCTGTAACTTTTGAACTAGTAGCCCAATCTAGGAACTGTTTGAAATTATGGATTCTACAGGCCACATTCGAGAAGAAAATTTTTTTCCGCGTCGATCTGAGACAATTTTTTTTCGGGGCTCAAAAAAAGGCAGTGTATAACCTTCCTTTTTTACCAAAAATCAACTGCACCAAAATATCTCGGGAAAACACTTTTTCTTATTAATTTAGGTGCGTAGAATCCAAAACAATTCGTACTTTTTCGATCAGACTTCTCAATCAAAAGTTATAGACAAGAAATCAATTTCGAAAGAAAATTCAAAGGGCTGTAACTTTTGAACTAGTTGCCCAATCTAGGAACTGTTTGAAATTATGGATTCTACAGGGCACATTCTATAAGAAATTTCCCGGTCGATCTGAGACAATTTTTTCTCGACGTAAAAGTATTTAGTATTCAAATACTTTGTAAATTTTGTGTAAAGTATTTACTATTTAGTATTCAAATCCTTTTTGAAAGTATTCTGCCCAGCTCTGTTTACAACGTACAAGTTCCTTTAGGTATTGCCATTAATAACAAAGGGATTATGGTAAATTACCAACAAAATTGTATTAATTTTATTTTATCGGAAGCCTAAATTTCGCTAAAAAATCTCAAACACGGCAGACCGGTAGCCAATCTCAAAGTACCATGGAAGGAGTTCGAAATTGCCAATGGAGCCAGAGAACGGTTGTGCTTAAAAGGCTGTAATGAGCCAATGGCGCATGGAGGTCCGTATACCTATAGTAGCGTCAAAAATGTTCTAATTTCGCAAAGCTGCTAACCGCGACATCAATCAAGCCTTTCAGGAACCACACAATTTTTCTTCGGTCACCCTGTTCTACTCTGCTTTTCTTGGCTCCAAATTTCTTATTTCTTGATTTGGCACTTTATGGAAGTGCCGCCCCTAGCATTTTAGTGTCGTCAGAGTCTTGAAGGCGTCACTGTGCTCCGCTTAGGGAATAGTGCTGTTAGAATCTGCACTTTGTAATCTGCTTGGCGCTACCCTATGCAACACATCCTACTAGATACAGCCGTCTTCTGGGTATCGTCTAAAATACTCTTAAACACAAAATTTCGAATTCAAAGTGGGAGTGTTAACATTACACGTAAAATTTCATTTAAAATCAAAATTTTCTATTCGTATTCGCGAGAATGTCAAAACGTAAGGCAACATAATAATAATAATGTGTATGTAGTATGTACCTACTTTTACGTCCTGATGGTATGTGCATTGTGTGGGAGCAGTTTAAAAAACCTGAACAAAGTAAAGGAATGAAAAGGTTAGTACATAAACATGAAAATAGACGTGCCCAAGTATTTGTCGAAAATTGGCCTTTATATGCCCGAAAATAGTTCTTTCCGGTATTTTAACTCTAATTTTGCAATACATTTACTGATAAACACTGAAACAAATTAATCGGTCTCATTATATCAGTAAGATGCGGGCACCGTCAAGTACCTAACATATGGACACATAATTCCAAACCTAATTGCCATAAATAAAAAGGGAAATAATTTTAAGCACAGGTGAATCTAATTTGAACGAACAAAACTAAATTTGCTCCACATTCAGCAGAAGAGTAAACAATGTTTGCAAAGATTCTCTTTGTTTGCTTTCCTGCGTCCTCCCACGTAGAATTTACGTAAATATATAAGGCGTACAATATCAACATAATAACGGAAGCTGCGTTTAATGAGTAACTTCCACATTTTATTGAAACGAGATCTTTAGATGGGTATGGGTACATCTAAGCGTGGTACCAAATCGATTTTTACTACAACTGATGTGTAATTAATAAACTTTGGTTTAGTGAAAAGCTTTTGTGATTACGGTTGACTGCTTACAAAATCGCTCCCTAATAGAAGACTTGTTTGATTATTCACCTGTAAACAAGCTAAAACTGGGAAATATAATCAACTTTGGGAGGGTTTGCCAAATTGCTTGAATTACACTACATTTTCTGCACAGGAATCTGCCATTTAGATTTTTTTATAACAAATTTAGAGCCGATGTATTCCATTAATGAAGCTGTCTAACAAAATACAGTTTTTAGTTTTCAAACTTTAAATTGGGGACACATGTTACAGACGTAGCTAAATTTGTTTTATAAACGTCGCCACGCTAAAAGAAAGTTATGTCGGCTACAATATGTTAAAAAACCTTAATTTAGTTCGACATTTTCCGGCATTCAGTATAACGGAATTGTTCTACCAAAAATGCGCGGATATTTTCGCTTCGGCAGATTTTTAAGCATTTTATATCGTAGCGTAGAGGATTTTATGGTATTTTCATATTTTACATGACGAATGAATTATGAGGTATTTAGAGACTGCCCCAGCCCCACTAATCGACTTTATTCATCAGTATTAGCCACATGCAGAATAACGCTTAGCCTTAGCTTTCTACTTTTGGTAGATTCTTAAATTAAATGCTTTACAAAAAATCGTGCCAATGCTGGGGTCAATAAGAAAACAGTTTCTGCAAAATGTCTTTTACAAGTACCTAATCTTAATTTCAAAAGAAGACATTTCTCTCTGACTGCCTCCAGTGAGAACATAAAGTGAAATGCGAGAATATACCAAATCTGATTTCCCAACGTTCATAAATGTATTTTTTAGAAAGGCCCTCGGCAAAAGATAACCAAACCAGTACCTACATTAATATTCAGACAGCTCCAAAATTATCGAAATATTTCCGGAATATTGCTGTGTTGTATAGAAAGGAGCGGTGACAATTTTAGCAAGTAAGAATCCCTCGCTCACCGAAGGAATTTCCAGACTGCACCGTGATGGATACCGGTATTATACATATTATCTTATCACAATCAAAAAAGAAGCTGGAAATATTAAAACAAGTGAAGAAAATACACGTAATCGGCGATTTAGTGATTTTTGCAAATAAATGAACATTTTTCTTTTCGCCGCCGGAAAAAATGATTCAATTCACAAAAACTGAACTGAAAACCTTTCTATTATTGCATAAAATATTACACTTCGGGCTTTGTTTTAGGGGTCGTCAAAATAAGAGTGCGCAGCCTGTAGGTTGCCGTTGTAAAGGTTAATAACAGGAGCCAATTTAGTTAATTTATAATTTCCGATAAAATATTACAGCAAAAACTCATGTTTTGGGACTTTTGGGGGTGTAACTCCCAACCGAACCATTTTGGATCTTCAGTTTAATTGGAAAAAATATTATTTTGCCCTTCTTTAACACCACCCATATTAATGAAATGACTGACCTGAATAACTGCAATGATGGTAGGTGAGGTAAGGAGTTAACGTAATACTCGTCTCGCTCAAAAAGTGAAAGTAATTAAAAAAATTGTGCTAGTATTCTCCACTGTACAGAATAAAAAGTCAAACACATTCCAATCATACGTACTAATTCCTAATTTTCACTATTTTTCTTTTCAGATCTTACTATCTTTTAAAAACAACGCTGTAGTCTGCATAATAGGGTGAGTTGCAACTGTATAGAAATTCACATTTGTGGTACCTATATGTATTTGTCAAAATGTCGAAGAATTACTATATTCACTTTATTAATGGAAAATTATGTCGTAAGTCCGAGGTCTTTCAATAGAGTGTTGTGCAATTCTGGTTATTCCCATATCTATTTCCTATACATGCTTTAATTTTATTATCAAATTTTGCCGTTTTTGATTGCCCTTGATTTCGATTTCATTAAGAAATGTGTGTAACACTTATGTTTATTTAATCTTTAGTTTTCATGTTTTTTTTGCAGTTTTTAGCAACTTACGTTTTGTATGAAATAATTAAATTAAGTTTAGATTTTAAAAATATTATTTATTTTATGGTTAATGACGTGCAAGATTTCGTAACACAAGATGTGCAACAAATTACAGAAGTAAAAAGGAAGGGCAGGAAGCTCACCTTATTAAAAAATTATAAATGATTATAACCTCAATTTGGAGTTCTATCTCACATAAGATGTAAACGATCTTCTGCAAAAATTCTGGGATATAGAGCAATGCTCTCAAAAGTAATTTAAAATTGCACGAGGGAACGAACGAACACAGCAGGCGCACTCGGTAAGCTCGAGAAGCAAATAAAATAATTTCAATTACGGTAACATTAATGAGGGAATAGGATAATTTTTTCTCAAATGCGACTTGTTATATTCTGACAAACCTAAAATGACTTATTGCACTCACATATTGTTTTTGCAACATACTCGTACATAGGTTTGGATCTGTAAACGTTTGCTCTCAGATCTCAGTATTTGTACAGCGGGAATGTTACACACTTCAAACTTTGGTTAAATACACCCGAACATATTAGAATTTCAACTTTCAGTTTGTTATCCAATTAATTCAAGCAAAGTTTGTATATTCCTCTGTTACTGCAGACCAGATTGTTAATTGACAGTTACGGTGGTGGCAATTCCAGTTTGTTATCTTTACCTTTCCAAGGATATTCTTCGATTTTTCATAAAAAGAGTTTTAAAGAAAATTAAGTTAAGCGCGTTTTACATGCTGAAAGATTTTGTGAAAGTTGTAATTTTCTTAGCCGAGGGCATGCGCAATAAGTGCTTTTCTTGAAAGAGAACTATCTTTCGGTTCGAAAGTGAAATATTTCACTTTCATTTTGAAATTGTAGGGCTGGCAACTCTAAGATCGGACATTTAAAATTAATGTTATGTTTTGTGTCATTTGCTGGTCAGTTGTGTTGACGGAGATAAAGGCAGATTATTGAGCGAAATATTTTCTTGTAAAATCGTAGCGATTGTTGATGCTGAAATTAAACAAGTTATGAAAGGTGTCCATGCCTATATTTTGGTATTAACAAAATTTCACGTGAAAATGAAATAGAATTGCAACATGTAAAGCACATCTGTCACTTCAAAAATTTCCGGAAAATGATTTTGCTTTCGACTTTCGTGAAATAACTTTCAGCATGCAAAACGGGCTTTATATCAAGAGTAATTTCATTGCTTACATTATCCTATGGAAAGAAGTTGGTAACAACCTAATTGATTAATAAAAAAAATGATTGACAACGTTATGCCATGCTTTATCATTTTCACATAGAGACTGACAAAAAATGATCATTTTTTAATTGGCATTCATCTTGACGGTCTGTTTTTAACGCAAAAGTGCGTATGCTACCAGATATGAAGACGATGAACCGCTAAAATTAAACTTTTGCTTTAGCGCTAAAGTGAATTAGTTAGTCATATAAGCTATACACTTCGCAACAAAAATGATTTTAGGGTGAAATTAGGATGCCTTAAGCCTTAATTTTGCCATGGTGCAAAAGTGCGCGACTATTCGCATTTGTGAATTTAATTCAGCAACAATCAACTGAATACTAAATGATAACGTAATTTGCTTTGATGTCTGTGAGGGGGAGGGTGTGTGTGTGTGTATGTATATATATCATCAGTTGGACAAGCGCCACTGGCGTGTAATTCATTTAGGATTCAGTACAAAGGGGTTGTCAGTATAAGGATTTACCTACTGTTCTACAAGTACATCTGACAGTTAGATTCACGTATGAGCTTATCATTATAAATATTTAGGTAGTAAGATAAAGGTGGTGTGATTAAAAATTAATTTATTATACACGGTGGCCAGCGACGAGCTTAGCCGATTACTATAAGTACATCAAACTAATGCAGTCTTTTGGAAATAAGGGATATTCAAATCTTTCGGTTTATAATCATTCAAATTTTTAAATTCAAAGTTGGTGCCTTATTGAAGTTCTGATAGTACCACGATACACTCACACTGGTATGTTAATCGAGCAACGCAAACTCGCCGACTGTGCGCATGACGTCAGCTGCGTCATTTTTCTGGTGCGAATGTGTATTCTAACTAGGAAAATATTAAAATTTTGATGTATGGGTTTTGGACGACGATTAAAAAACTTGAAAATGATTTCTTCCACTCCGATAATTAATTTTGATTTACAATTTCACAACCCTAACAACATGAGCAATATAGACAAGGTACACTTTTTAGCTTCCCACTTACCTAACACCAGCCTTATCACTTCGATTAATTAAAAAAACAATCTGGTAACAATTGGCCTAATGGCTGTTAGAAAGTCTGAATAGCAAGTATCGCTTTTAATGGACGTAATCGCATTACCCTACCTGCGCAATACGTAAGTATGATATCCAAACTGGGAGGTATGTAGATTTGTAGGTACTTTCACATGTGCCATTGTGCCATTGTTTATCAAAATTAATTAAATTTTATCTTCATAAATCCCCCCTTTATTTCCTGATCAAAGTTGTAGGAGAAAATGTAATTTGAACTAATGTTAATGTCCATGAACCTAGCAGAGCAAGGCCAGCAGAACACAATCAACCATATTGCATAATTAAGTGCCCTATTCCCGAATTAAATGTTCCTTTTTTTTTAAATTATTACATATTTTGCCAGGTTCATATGAACGCAACAGAACGCTACCTCAAAAAACTAAAAAATGAAAAGTGAACTAACTGTAATTAGGTGCTAAGTAAGTGCCCTATTCCCGAATTAAATGCTCTTTTTTTTTAAATTATTACATTCCCCCTACTAACACTTCCTATGTAATATAATAAGTTATGTTATGTAATCTACTAAGTGCTGTAAAAACGGTACCACAGATTTATGCGTAATCGATGATGAACTGTGCTGCAAATAGAACTTGATCAGCAGATGATATTAGCAGAAGTGCCTCACTAACTTAAATGCAGAGGAACGTTCATTTCATTTGTCAAAATACAGTGGAAAAACGGAGGTAGAAATACACCACAAACAAGCCTTTTTCAATAAGAAACTGATAATATTTATTTCATTGTTCTGAATAATAGTCGATTATCACGACTCAATAATGAGAGCTATTTAATTCTCGAAGAATATTTACGAACTGAGCCGCTTCCGCGACGAGGGATTAAAATTCCGAGAGTATAATAGCCATTATTGCGAGTAATATACTCTACTTTATCTACAACTAATTTAATAGCTTGAGATTTTGTCCATTTTAATACAAAAAAATATACACAAAAACCCGCTTGACATTTACACTTTTGACGTTTCCATTGATGTAGAATAGTCATTATTAGAAATACAGCAAAGTGACACGATTAAAAGTTTCAGACATTTTAATGTTTAACGTGATGAACATACCAATTTCCTTCTATATTTTACAATTTTTGAGTTATACAAACTGTAATTTTTTTAAATAGTAGTCATAGTTGGCTTTGAAATTTTTAAAAAGTGCATTTTTTTCTGTTTACGATATAAGATTCATTGTACTTACTTTGACAAATAAACATACAGAACTGTTTGTATTATTGAAAGGTAGGTAAATAAAAAGAGTTTACCATGGAAAACAACATCTAGTGAGACAAGTAATAGTGTAACTGTAGCACATTTAACATATTTAAGGGCCATTTTCGAAAATTCACTAGGAAAATTAAATTAACAATTATATTCAATACACTATTATAAGTAGATCGTATCATGCCATGGAAAACAATAAATAAACAAAATACTGCTCTTTATTGTTGAAGACCTCAAAGAAAACTTGGATTTAATGTTTGGTGCGGAATTATTGGATCACGAATTCTTGGACCTTTAATTTACGATGAAAATTGGACAGGCCCACGTTATCTTTATTTGCCATCAAATGAATTTCAAGATATGTACGATGGGTTAGATTTGGAAACACGACGTAATTTACGCTAGTTTCAGCACAACGGTGCCCCGCCGCACAAACAACTGAAAGTACGAGAGCACCTAAACCAACTAATTCCAAAGTCATGGATAGGTAGGAACGGGTCGGCCCTTTGGACTTGATTGACCCGCACATATTTTATTCCATTGAGCTTCCTTACTAGAGTTACAAATACTTGAGCTGTTTCATATGAATTGTAATTCTCTTTTTCCTTACGCAATAAGTGTATACGTATATGTATGTACATTTTATAAATGGAAGTTGAAAACACACGTGATCGGAATTTCAAAATTAGGCTTGAGATTGGAAATCTGTACGAAGGTAGAGTAGATAATCAAACGGCAATATAGAAGTAAATAAATCATTGACAAATCTATTTGAAAATCTTTGGAAATTTTGTTAGGAATAAAAGGTTCTCGCACCGCAATAGCTGATTTTCAGAAATGGTAACCCAAAAAATTTACTCCAGTGATTGCATATAATTAAAGCCCCTTCTAATTATATCAGTGGTCACCTCAATAAAGAGTAAATTACACTGTATAGTAAACATCTGCCACTTACCACAGAATGCGGCGTGCTTTTTTTAAGGACGTGGGTAAATGAGAATAAATTGTATGCATAATTACATTCGGCTCGGGCAAAGAACAACCTGCTTTCAATCCGCCGATGCTTTAAAAGTGTAAATAACCACCCAGTGCTTTAAGAAAGTAATTTCGTGCGCCACTATTGCTACAAAAGGGTCTCCTGGCACGAAACTTTCATCTACGCT